AATATAATTTTATGATTCATTTCTCTACCCAGAATGAGAATGTTATACTCGTGTACGAAATCAAATAGCAAATGAATGAAATCTGCATGGGAAACAACGAATCTACGGGCAAGGGAGGAAATGAGTCTAATGAGAATTTATAGAAGGGAGAAACCTCAGGCTAAAAGAATCCACGGGGCACAATAATAAAAATAAATAGGTGCGGGACAAGAGGTGGCGGCGAGAAGTGGGAGAGGTTTAATGTAGCGCAAATCGCACCAATTAAAAATCCGATTAAGGAAGCTGACGGGTACAGCGTTAAAGATTTAAACGAGAAAATGGTCGGGATCAGAATCGTTTCCGGCCGATAAAGCAAGCGTTCATTTATTAACGGCCGCCCCTCTCTCGAAATTCCTTCGTCAGCTCACGTATTTACTCATTCTCCTCTTCTCCCTCGGTCTCACTCGCTCTCTTCTCACCGTCGTTAATTCTACCGCGTTCTTCAGGTGTTAGTTTTATGGCTCGTCATTTTTTTAAGTGCAAATGAGTTCCGCCGTCGCCTCTAGCTTTTCAGCGCCGAGGATCTTTTCCTTTATTTCTTTAATTTAAAAACGGAACGATTATACGGGGGCGGCTTGCCGGATTAAAAACTCTGCCCACCCTCTCTGCCCAGGAATCTCGCCCACTCCACCGGTTCCTTTCATTCTCCGACCCTCGCTCGGTTTCCCTCGCCCCTCTCCCTCGAAACGACTTTCTTTGCACAAAGCTCCGCGGAGTAGCGACGCGCTTTCCGAGATTGATTGCGAAGTTAACTTTAATTTTTCCCTGGTCCATTCGCGTCGCTCCCGTCCAGACGACTGATGGACGGTATGCGATCTGTTTTCGGTTTTCGCGCAGCTCGCGGAACAGAGACAATGGAATTTATAAATACAAATCGCGTCGGTTTCAAAGATATCTATCACCGGCTCGGTTCGAGCCACTAATTACATTGAAATCTGTAGAAACCGTGCACGGTTCGGTGCTCACTCAGCCTCGGTACGTCGAATAATGAATGGAATTAGGCAGTAATTACCGCGGCAACGGACACGCCTTGACAGATGTTTGTTTCACCATTATAGTACAACCATTAAACAGTCTAATTGCCCGTTTCCTGCTTGTATACCTAATTCCTTAACGGAGCAACCTATTCATTTTCTCGTATGCAGCCTGCGCCGAAAGTTCATCTAAATTGCAAATAATTCATGTTCGCACCCTCATTTACGACTGCTGTCCGCGCGAATACCGCGAAACTCGAAGACCAGCACTTTTATCGTAGAACTTTCAGGCACGCCACCGATCCCTACACCTCTTTCAACGAATTCGAGCGAGTTCCGATGCAGAAAGAGCGAAAGCCACGCTTCGTTATTAGACATTCCTGCGTTACCGATAGACAGATCCGGGCGAACACCCCGGGCACTGCCACTCTCCGTAGCATGTGGACCTTGTGCCTAATCGGGTGTGAACGCGCCTTTGTGGGGTGGCATACTCAACCCCGAGATATTGCAGGTTGTTTAATTTCGCGCTCTCTCCGTTCCTTTGTTTCCGAACGTTTCAATTTAAATCGAACCGGGGCCGTCCGTCCGAACGGGACCTCTCTGTGCTTTCTCTCTCTCTCTCTCTCTCTCTCTCTCTCTCTCCCTCACTTTATCTCCCTCCCTTTGCGCGGAGTCAGAGGTTCCGCTCGTGAAACTGGAAGGAGTTCTTGGACAGGGGGCAAAGGATCAGGCGCCGATCCGTTATTAATTAGATCGGCATCGGGCGGAAAAGAGCGGCTCCGAGAAAAGGGCCAGATCCGATATCGGTTCTCGGTTTCAGGAATCCCCTCGCCGATCCCTACCCGAGGCCCGAAACCTCCGCGAAATTAATTGCCGGACAGAACGGAGGCTGGCTTCGTTTGACTCGCTCCGACACCATTCGACACACTTAACCCGATAGACACCACTCCTTTGTTTAAATTTTACCTGCTACTCCAGGATTCGATACGTTGAATAAAATTGTTTTAAACATTCAATGATAAATCCGAGAAGAACCGATGAACGAAAAAAAATGAATTGCAGTACGTAAGAAGAAAATGGGCCTTCTTAATTTCCAATGTTTCCACTCGAACTGAGCTATCAAATAGGCCATGCTCTCAGACGATGCAGAAAATCCTTTTTAAAGAAAATAAGCCACAGAAAACGGCGCAGCGGTTCGAATTTGCAGCGGTCCTTAAATGACCCTCGAGGTGAACGCAGCACGGAATTATGGAAAGGTTTTAAGTAACGAGATCGAGCGAGCGCATTACAGTCATCGGGAATATCCGAGCGTACATCCCTCGGATATGATTTATCCTTAATGACAGTACCGCACCTGGTTTGAAACGATCAACGAGGAATGCGCGTGAAGGAGAGTCGCCACGCGGGTGAAGTCAAAAACGAGCTGGCCGATGAAAAACTCGTCGGTATGGCAATGAAAAGGGAAAAAGGGCTTATCGCTAATGAAGCGAGACGCCTTCTTCAGCGGCCGAGCACGGCCACTGTCTTGTAAGAAGCCTCGGTGCACCGGGCCCGTCGTGTAACGAGTTTTGTAACAGCGAATCGAATCGGACCTCTTCGAAGGCCTCGCCAACAATCAGCGACCTTCGTATTAGAGTGCGAGCCCCGAGACACGTACCGCGGCTGTTAATTAAAATCATCGGCGAGGCACGTGTTCGATGAAGATTCGATAATGACAGTGGATACTACTTTGTTCTCCGTAAATGAAATCTATCATCCGATGGCGAGGTACTTCGCTCCTGATGATGTACGTAACTTGTTTATTGGAATTTGGACTTAGACGATTCTTTACGAAGATCGTAGACAGACGTATCAAATAACATTCTTCCAGCTTCTTTACGATCCCTCAGTTAAGAAATAAAATGTTGAAACGTTTTCGATTTCAGTCTCAATCGATTGAAATTAGGAATCATCGGTTCAAGCTTTAAGTACATACGGAAGATAAAGCGATACGTTAAAGAGGTCAGCTTGTGCGCAGTCGTAAAGATCACGGTACACGATTGTCTGCATCGATACCATTTAGGATGGATTAAGGCCAGCGTGGCTAATAAATAAAATATAATAAGGATAATGGTGGCAATTTCGTGGATGCATCGGAGGAAGTCGGATATTATAGTGTAACGTAACGCAATCCGAGTATTTGAATACCTAATAGTTTTCAATGCATACATTAAGCCTTAAACGCCTATTACCCCGAGTATAGTGTTGTCCTATAGCGTTCTTAGTCGATGCTAATATTAGCCGAGCCGAATTCGAACACCACGTAACAGGCGGTGAGAGTGGAAAAATTTATTCAACAGATCTTATTACGTATGTACTATAAAATCGAAATTGCAAGATTAAAAAATCTATAAATAGACTTAAGACAGAAACCTTCAATGTATACAGAAAAATAGAATCGATAATATTGTTTTAACAATTTACACAGTTCTTTTATTCGTTACTGTTACTGTTATTATATACTTATGGAAAATTATAGACTCGTTTACGTTTTGAAACGTTCATTCATTCACGTTTAATCGGGTAAGAGCTTCGATTTTGCTACAAGTTAAAATAACTTTCAATAACAGATTCTCCTCGAATATTGCACCAGTTTCATAGTAATTACTCCATAAATAGAAATTACTCATTAGATCGAAGCGCATAAAAGATTTTAGTAGGACCTTTTTAACTGTAGCGGCGAACCCAATATTCTAAGTTCAAGGAACAATGAAGAAACTTTGATTTAAGAGTTCCTGGAGGTATTCATATTCCGAAAGCATATCATCGTAGTGGCCGTAATAAACCGAAACGGCCTCGAATGGAGGACGTTCATTTTGGAAAAAGGCCATTTAGCGGAGGCGGAGTGATTACGCGAGGCAGGGTATTGAGAATGCAAGAATGAAAAGCTCGGCGAACTAATTTCCTGCGGCCCGAATCAGTCTGTAAAGACTGGTGATCACGTCTTCCTCGCGCGAAAGGAGACTTCTAAGTCCTCGATATGAGGCATGTAATCCCGCGTAATGAACCTCTCAAGACTGTCAGGGAACGTTTCAAATATTTATCCGGGTAAAACGTCTTTCGCGTCTTAGCTTTTAATGGTCGGCTACCATTCCGCGCAGTTTCAAGGAATTATTCAGAAACGTCACCGGTTCTTGTTATACCAGGGAGCTTTACAAACTCGGAAGGAAGCTAGTAGCCGTTATATTGAAAGAAACAGCTCTCGGAAGGAGGTCTTAATATTTCTCGATGTTTATTTAGCGCTTTATACGCTTCCTCGATGAGTGTTAGAAATAGAGAACGTGTACAACGTGTGTATGTAATGAGAACATACCGCAATATCCTTAATAATGAACGAAAACGTTCTCGACAGTTTGGTATTTCAATCACAAGCAGAAATATCATCAAATACTTATACATATATCGAAATGCACTTACGATTTTCGTAAGATATGAAAACATATACATATAATATACTATCAATAAAATTACTTAAATATTTGTACTCACTCTTAACTGCAACGTCCTGCTGTCAACATTTATTTCCTTCTAAAACTGGTCTCCAACAGACGCTCCTGCAAGCCGGTAAAAATTGAGGTTATTTTTGCAAAATTTTGCGCTACGCAATTACGTTTTGCATTAACAGGATATGAAATATGAATAAATAGCACTAACCGGTACAAGTATATTAGAAAACAGAGGACACTATTCAATAACCGCACTGATCGCACTATCAACACTATTGAAACACTGTAAAACAATATTTTTAATATCTCGCTGACTAATTAAGCGCCTTTTTTGTTTCTTCTGTCATAAACTGCTCGTGGTAAATATGAAAACGAATTACGTGACTTCGTGCATGAATCTGGTTACTAATCCCGCCGGCAGATGGCGCGTGTTGCACTGTAGTCGCGTATCAATGAACTTTTATAATAACTAAAACAAATGTGAATCGTGGACAGCGTCCATTTGGAAATTCTTCGAACAAACTGCGTAGTTAGTAGCAATTTCGGGGTGAGTGCTTTCTGCGAGCATAAATAAGTAAAAACTGAAGTTAAAGTGTATGCTAATCATTATTATCATCAAAATCATAAGACGAACATGGTCGAAATACGCATATATGTATGTATGCATTATTTTGTCGAAGCCGGGCGTTTTAACCGTCTCGCCGGTTTAACAAAACGTATTAATCATTAGATTTCATTTTTTATGTTTCAGTTGGACTTCGATTTAAGGAAGACGGCGTGAAGACGAGCTATCAGTATATCGCAGTTGGGATAAACACATCGAAATACGTTTAAGGTATGCACCAATTTTCTATCCTATTAATCCTGTTAGTAATTGTATGGAATTGGAAGCCATTGTGCAGTATTATTAGAAATTTCGGGAAATGAGATTATGATTGATACAATTCATTAACCATAATGGATTTGTAGAAGCAAATAATGATCGTTACGTTCCGTATTCGTTACTTAAATAGCAATAGACATGTGTGTATCGTTAAATGTAATAAAAGGCGATTGTCCATAATCGGAAAAGCATAATTTTATGGAACGTGAGTTACAATATCGTTAGGTTGTATAACTGCGATGAGCAACGCATTAAAAGGTAGTCTAGAGAATTGTTGCATGCTTCTGGACAATAAGCAAGGTGCATGAACAATGCTGATATAATATTTCACGTGAAAGTATGCGAATTTTTTCATAACATTTTACATAGCGGTCAGAGTGTACACAGAAGGGTTATATATTATTTATAAATCGATTAGCCTCGAATTTCATTAAGAGAAATATCTAACGATCATTAATCGTTCGCAATCGTTTTGCTGTCGACTGCGTTTATATCACTTTCATAAGAAATCGATATTCTGTTCGAAATGTTCTCACGATGAAGCGAGGCGTTATCGATATCTGAAAATAAACACGGGGTCATTCCGAGAAATTATTAACGATATAATGTATTTGCATAAAGAATTTAGCGACTGCCAGTGATTGAAAGTTTGATCGAATGGTGAATTGTGTCTTTCATTATCCCTGTTCGACGTAGATCGTAAAAAGAATTTCTTTTGTCAAGCTGACAATATTAATTACGTAGACGTCCATTGTAAACGACACGTAGGTTGCTGCATAATCGTATCAATCACCTGCAGAATATTAACAATATCGTTCGTGATTAAATTTAATCGGTACCGAGTGGCAATCATGTATTTAACCTAATTAACTTTTGTATTATCATTCCAGTGCCTTGTTCGAGTTGCCATCGCTGTAAAGATGATCGACATCAGGGAGATTCAGCCTCGTTTCGGTGAGTCGTTTATACCAATTCAAAACTATGCATTTATATTTTTTATTACTCATGGACCAGTTGCAATTTCACATTATCTATTAGGAATTGTTTTCTTATCACTCAATACTAAAGAAACATGAATGAAAGTATGAATTAGGAGAATAGTCCAATTGAATTGATAGATTCTTTGTCTCACTCATTTTTTATGAACATTATAAAATTTGATGAACATGCAATAATGAACACTAAGTCAATATATGTGGCATAGGGTGGGAGAAAGAAACAAATAGTTTGGCACTTTAGAAACAAACGTTCCGCAACTGGATTGTCAATGACAATGACTGATCCTCCGGTACCATACGTCGTGGCGGTGTAAGGGACGAAGGGGGACAGAGGGAACTGGTTTAAATATTTTCTGGGCACGTGTTTTACATAGGTAGAGATATACCCACTCCTCCGGCACGCTCGAATGTATAAGGCCCCGTCGTCCAGCTATCTGGGGTCAGATCTCGACGGTGATCTTCAGCTCTCATTTTTTCGTATGGTCGCTATTATGCCCGTCCACGAGGGTCTCGGAAACTCGTTCGCGTGTACAAAGGATCTTCCGACGATTATTAATTATCGCGACTGACTTTCGCGTACGGAGTTTAGGCGAATGATTTAGTTTCTTTGAATTCTATTCTCTCACATAATCTCGATAAGGTTTATTAAATTAATTCGCGATATTTAGTCAGGGATCTACTTTGAGATAATTAAATATTGTTTACAATAAGAATTGAGGGTGTTATTTAGTCATACAGTTAATATAGATCGTCCTAGTTTCGACGTGAAGAGAAATAGAGGTTTTTAAAAACGAGGTAGAATTGATTGGGAAGGGAAGGGATCGTTCTCGGGACAAAGTGTCCGCAGACAAAGAAGATTAATACGAGGTCGGTTACGACATTTTCGACCAGCGAAACAACCACGTCGATCTCAATATACAGCTCGCAAACGGGCATGGTAATAATTAGAATTAATTTAGGTGGAACGTTAAATCTAAGCGAGTGGGCCCTCGAACAGGAATAGCCCAACTGGCTCTGATTAGTCTTAATGTGTTAATTAGAGAAGATTGCTCTCCGCCAATTCCTCCGCTCCTCGTCTCCCTCTCGCTCGCCTTCGCCTCGCGCTGTCGCCAAACTGGACGGTAGATAGCGAGCCAGTTTGCCAATGGCAAACGCGGGAAGAGAAAGAAGGAAGGAACGAGCCGAACGGTGCGGAGTTTACCAAGTATCATATTTTATCGGGCATCAGCGTACCGACGAGCACGCACACACGGCCCCTGTCCACGCACACGCGCGTGCCACCGGCATCATTAATCACTATTATCTCGGGGTAATTTTTCTTCGATATAATTTCGTCTGTTTACCCCCGCGAGTTGGCGCGCGAGCTTGCACACCGTGAAGACGAGGACAAGGCTCCGTTTCGAAGAGTGGCGCCCATGCTTCCTCTCTCCTCTCCTCGTTTCCTCTCTGCAATTCTCTTCCTCTTCTTCTATCTGTACGCTTCGTGTCGCCTCTTCTCCATCGGTTTCGTTCCCTCGTCTTCTTTTCTTTCTTCCTCGCCTACTTCACGGTTCGTGAACTCTCGACATCGACTTTTATGTGTACACACGCCTGCAGCTTCGTTAGCCTCAAACCCGACGCGTTTCCCACACCGATGACTGTCAAATCAGGTCTCCTCTTTTTTGCCACGTGAAACGCTCGTCCCGATCCGCGCGCGCTTTTATGTTGCGCGAATGAAATCGCCCGGATCCCTGCGATTTCGAAACCGTTCGGATCGTTGAAACGATAGGTCGAAACTTACAGTATTGTTCTCACAATGCTTTTTCTTCGCTTGATGAGTCAAGGGAAACTGTCTTGTTTAGCTTCGAATAATACTTGAAGCTATTGTTCATAATTAGACTGCAATTGAAATGTGCATTTATATAGAATTGAAATTCAGTTTTTCATACTCTGAATAGTTTTATACGTTACGACACAGCATTTGTAATTACTACACATTTAGTTCTCTTAAAAATGCATAAAATTTGCAGTCTGTAATTTTTGAGTGGTCACTGAATTTCCAGCCTCTTTGCTTCCGGTAATAATTAAACTCTGACGCAACCTGAATACTTTATTAGGATAGCTGGCTCGAGTTACACGCCGCGAAGCTAATTGTAAGGTAGAAAATAACTAAGCGTGGGCCGGGCATTAAAAATTTGATTACCTATCTCCCACCGGTACGTTACTCTATTAATCACCGGGCAAATTAGACAGCTACAAAGGCTTGATAATCTTATCTGAGACACCGGTATCGCGCCGTGAGCCGTGAGTGGCTCGAAATTAATAATCAGTGACGCGTGTAGTCGAACGAGAGATTCTGGCCGCAGAAACGATTTTCCTCTAATTTCTCGTAACTTTCACGAGACTTTCACGAATTATCACGGAAGCATGTCGCACGACGAAAAATGATCACAAATCGAGCGTTAAGATTTATGGTTTGCAACTTTCATAATCCCCGAGATATTGTCACTTTCGTAATCTACGTAAAATTCGCGTTTACACTTCAATAAACCACTGCTTTCTATAACGTTCGTATTGTTTCGCAATTTGTTAATCTACAATCAGCAATTTAGATTCTACCGATTGCAAATTACTGTTGCACCTTCGTCTTGCGTTCGAGTAAACGTCAGCCACCTTCCGTTTTTCTCTTCTCTTTTTTCCGGTGTTAAAACACTAATTCTTGCCCAACCGTTTATTCTTGTAAGCGAGGCTGCTGTTTACTCAGTTAATGCGAGTACTCGAGCATGTAAGTACTCGGCCCGAAATAAAATTAAAAAACGTTTTAACCTCGTGTCAAGCCTGTCACCGGGTTACTTTATTTATTCATTGGAAACTCAATACTCTTCTACCAGTTGTTAAAATCATGTACAAATTACTACACCAACTCTCATTATCATATACTCCGAATTTGGGAATAAATAAGTAAGACAGAGTTTTATATTTGTTCGAAATGAATGGTGTAGAAATATCTTTAGGGGATATTATGTTCCTTTTTATATAAAATGGGTGGTATTCTGGCACTGACGTTGGGCCAATTTTTATGTAAATCAAGAATGCCATTAACCTGCGCTACAAATATGGTTTTTTTTTCCCGGACGGACGCATTATCGATACAGAGATCCCGGCTGGGTCAAAGAGAAATGTAAGCGCAAGGTCCGCAAACGACGCAATGAACGTCGATGCTTAAATAAATGATAGTGTTACCCGAGAGTAACGAGAGTGCCACGGAATTATATGTTTCACGTTGCATAAGGCCCCCCATTATGCGTTAAGTCCCCGTTGTATCTGGCTCCGTCCCCGCGCCCCCTCCCCACCCGTTGTACCATCCTAGGGACTAACTATCCTTCGCGTCCGAAGACTAACTAAGCGACTCTGAGATCCTGTAGATCTTTCCACGAGATGATGGTCATTCGACCAACGGGTATAAATCACCTAAGAGAAGTGTCATCCTGGGGTTCCACCTATCCTCCCCCTTGTCCCGCCGCCCCCGGCATTCCTTCATTTGAATGCAACTCTCTTTCATCTGTCTCTTTTTGCTCTTCCTCTCCCCCGGTCTCTCTCCACCGTGACATTATGAAACATAGGCACACGTAGCAGTAAATGAATATTGTATCAGTTGTCTTCGTCGTCGCCTCTTTTTTTTTTCTCCCGAGTCATTGTAGCAAGGTCTCCTCCGGCTCCACGTAGGTGAACTCTGTCGGGGTGCAAGAATGAAACAAAGGGTCTTTACGATTGTCCACGGGCTGACATCGGACTCGGTTCGGTCGTAGAATTCCGTATGGTATATATGACGATTCTTTATCGTTTCCACTTGGAATTCGGTTGTGTACTGGTCGCTGATCGTACGTAGGTAGGTACGAGCGCGAAGATCGGCAAAAAAATCATTTTACACGCGCGCGTTCCTCGCCTTCGGGTCCTTGGACGTGATATTCAAAGTTTGTTTTCAGCCCGGGGGAGAGCGAGAGAGAGAGAGAGAGAGAGAGAGGGGGAGGACGTGCACGGCGAGTCAGCGGGTCGTGAGATGTTCTTAATTAATCACTCATATTCAATAACGAGAGATAGAGCGAGAGGAGTTAGGCTCTGAATGCATCGACGATGATTGTGAGGATTATCTGTTCGCTCGAGCACATTAATAATTAGGAAGGAGAAGGAGAGAAAGAGAGTTAGCGGTATCATTGTTACTCAGTGTTGATTTGATCAGCCTGTCTGGGATTCTTCGACCGTTCCAACGCGATGCCTCACCGAGGAGGAACAATTATTATTAAAACGCTTTCAGACGAGTTCCTCGCTCGTGAAATCATTGCCGGCGACTCGACGATGAAATAATCAATTATAAAAGATCTATCGTCTAACATTTTTTACTTCAGTATATTTTAATTAACATTTCTCGGGGGAATAATAGTGTTGAAAATTTGAAGGCGATTTATTTAATTTCAATCGTAGGCTCAGTACAATTAGAGAAACGAATAGGGACGTGATTAGAGGACATAGAAAACCGACATGCTAAACAAATATGCCTCTCAAATCGTCGAGCGAGCACCGGCGCAACCGTGAAGCCTCGGAGTGGCCAGTTAAGATCTTCGTTAATTATCATCATTTATAATTGTCTTTTCCCGTGACTCCCCTCACGGCGAGGTTGTTCCCCGAGGAAGGGTGGGGCGAGAAGGGAACCTGCCGCCTTCCTTCTCTTTTTCTCCGGGTTTAATATTTCAAATAAATGCGTACATTAGCGCGCTATCTCGGCGTGATCCTCTGTTGACTATTAACAACGTCTCGGCCGAGCCACTATTATGACTTATCTGACCGGGGACCCGGCTACAATACCATCCCCCTTGTTGCACCCTCGTTTCTCTCTTGGTATCTTTAGCAATAGTGGTCCAGTAACGTCCTACGCTTAATAAAGCACATAAGGGTACTTGGCTTTGTTAGAAGAGAAAT